GTATTTGTGTGTGTGTGTGTGTGTGTGTGCATGTGTGTGTGTGGGTGTGTGTGTGTGGGTGTATTTGTGTGTGTGTGTGCTAGTGTGTGTGCATGTGTGTGTGTGTGTGTGTGTGCATGCATGCATGCGTGTCTGTGAGTGTATATGCATTGGTATTTAAAATATTGGTTGTCACTAAAACAGTGTCTATATTCTTTATCAAGTCACTTTATTACTGATAGGTTCATCTAGATTTAAATGTTTTAAACCTTTGTGAAGAGTGTCCACATTTTTGTGTTCTCTGCGAGGGCCGTCTATGTACATTTTGTCAGCTTTACTTCTCCTTTCATATCGAATTTTAATGAGAGTAATATATGTGAGCTGTGCTGACAAAATGAGTTACTTGTCGCAATCCACAAATGAAGATATTGGCAAAAAAATCAACACTAGGGTCAAATTTGTAGATTTTCTATTGATGCTATATTCTTTAAGTGTAATAATATGCCTGTTATTACTTCATACTTATGTATTTTTTTAAAAACTTATAAGCGTGATGTATCTATTTCCATATGGCTCGAATCCAAGAAGTAACTCATTTTGTCAGCACGTTTCACATATATGATTTAAATTTTAAATGTATACCTGCATGGGTTTTTACGGTCCTATACAGCCAAGGAAAATTTCCCTCTGGGATAATAAAGTACTATCTTATCTGATCTTATCTTTTCTTATTTATAACCTCTTTGGCTCCCCCTCACAGGGAAGAACTAGGTCACCAAGTCCACTAACTCGGTCCGGCCGCAGCTACATGGCTCAGAGAAGGTCAAGGTCGTCCGAGGGGTTGAGCAGTCCAGAATTTTCAGAGCGAGAGTGTGAGTGTTTTTACTGTATGACGTTTCACAAACCTATGATCATGTTTTAGACAATGTGAACTTTGACGTCTAAAGTGCCAGACGAATGTGGACAAATGAGTTGATATTGTGCGTTAAATAAAAAAGACATGAATATCGTGCCGTTTTATTAGGCCGAACTCAATTAATTTGAAAACAGCGAAAAACCGACAGAGAATAAAATCTTCTCTTTTTTTATTCTTTTATTTGAGCAACTGGGGGAAAAAATCCAAGATGTTTTAATTTTTCTGTTTTGAGCAACCCGAAGAAAATAAAATCCCAGGTTTTATTCTTCTTGTATTGGAACAATCTCTTTAAAGTGAAAACCCGGCTAAACAGAAGAAATTCTGGCCATCCTGTACATTTCAGTTGAAGCAGACTCAACTGTAATTTAGTGTAATAATGTTACAAAGTATGAAGGGGTGTGTTTGCCTCTTTGTGTGTGTGTGTTTTGTGTTGGTGTGTCATCATACTTGTCTTTGTGCGGCAGGACTCTTCTCTTTTCTTTCTGCCAGTCGGAAGTTTTTGACCGATTGGCCAGGCTGGTGGACCTGTCTGAACACACTGGACTTTGCTCAATGAATTAAATTTGTTAAAATTTATGTATTTATTTATTTAGTTAGTTAATTATTTATTTAGTTAATTATTTAGTTATTTATTCATTGGACCAGGCTGGTGGACCTGTCTGAACACACTGGACTTTGCTCAATGAATTAAATTTGTTAAAATTTATGTATTTATTTAGTTAGTTAGTTAATTATTTATTTTGTTGTTTTTTTGTTGTTTTTTTTTAAATTATTTATTTAGGTAGTTATTTAGTTATTTATTCACCTATTCATTTATTTATTAATTCGTTTACAGTATAACACGGATATCTCGAATTTGCAGGACCGACCTTGGTAGTTACAGGTATCTGTAGTTTGAGGGATATCTTACAAAGATAAAGAAGGGGAAAAAAACAGGACCGCAGACACAATTCAATGGATGCGTAATTTTGAGTCTGTGTTCGACCTATCCATGTTATATTGTAACTTTTTATCCATTTATTTATTCTTTTTTTTTTGCTGTGGGGGCAAAGGAGGGGGGGGGGGGAGGAATTAAATTGAATGGAACTGAATTAATAATATCTTTAATAGGCTTGCAGTTTGTTTTTATTGCAGTTTTGAATGACAATTGAAACATGTAGAAGAAGTCAGTCGGCCTATCTTTACTAACCCCTTACTCCGCTGTGGTTTTTTTTTCAGTTCTGTAGCAGCTGTCCCCCGTCATGACGGTCAAGATCATCCTCCTCATGATTTGACGAACGCTTGACCTTCTGACGACCTTCCACAAACAGCTGGTCATCCCACAGCCCGGACCATCTTCCATTTCTCAGACATTCAGGGATCATCTCACTTATCATCGCGACAAGTTTTCAACAACCCAAAATGAAACGCTAGTTGAGGAGAATAATATTTAAGTTTAAATGAAAAAAATAATAAAATGCTTATTAGGCGAGACTGAAAGTTTTGGTCAAAATATTCCTGATCAATTTTAGAGAAATTTGGAAAAGAAGTAAATATTTCTGGATAGGCCTACTGTTCTATGAAATTTGGAGCAGGTTTTCCCAGTTCTGGAATGAGGAGGATTGCTTTTCTTCATCAATGACAGCAAAAGGAATAAAAAGACGGGCAACGTCAGTACTGCCTTTTTCTCTGTATTTTTACAGCGAGAAAGTACTGTCCTCGATTCACGCCTTGTTCGTGTTGTAATGTCACAAACTTGTCGACAGCCGACTTAGAGATACACATGAGACTTCGCTTCAATCCACCTCACTGCCAGAGCTTTCTCGTGGGGAAAAAGGTCATTATAATCATAAATAGCCATAATTCCTCACTCATGTTTCATTTTTGGAGATGTTGCAAAGAATTGTAAAGGAATAGATCAATAATATATTTGAATAATTGTCCGAGTCTATCCAAAAGTGCCCTAAAACTCTTATTTTTTCTCATAAGCATCACACTTGCAATACATGGAGGAGAATATACAAGGCAGGCTGACAAAGTGAAATATTTCTTGAATTTTTTCCTGATGGAAATAGATACTTCAAATTTATAGGGTGAGTTTAGACATTCGTCTTGTTAAGCTTGAAGGGAATAGCATTGGTTTAGAATTGATCAATTATGACCTTTGCGTTGATTTTCAGCCGATATGTCCATTCATGGATTGCGAGAAATAACTCATTTTGTCAGCACGCCTCAAATATTTCTGTTGATATCTTAGTTCCATAAATCGTAAACTCTGGTTGACCTTTCTGATTTGTGAGAAAGTGTGTAGGACGACGACATATGGAGATATCTCTGTGGCTGATGAAAAAATCTTTTTCATTTCTCGGGGGGGAGAAGAATTTTTGCAACCGTCTTGAAATTTGCTACGTTGTTATATTTATAATAATGACCTTGAGAATGAAAAGAAGATGACCTTGCGTCAGGAATGCAGGCAACTGGTCTTATGTTCTGCTTTCAGACTCAAAATGAAATGTAAGTTAATCACAAAGTTTAAATGTACGAGGCAGTAAATGTGAGGCAGTGTGGTTGAATCAGGCTCACATCAAAATAATCAAAGTGAAGAAACTAGCATTTTTGCAAGTTTGTGAATTTTTATCAATTTTTTGTTTTTTTGCTCAACACCTTTCATGCCCATTACAGAACTCATTTGTGTGTGGATTCTTCTGAAAAACGTTGATTAAAGGCACAGAGAATGTAAATTTTCAGTTACCACGGAGTCTTAAGCTAAGGAAATAACTAATCTTTGGCGGACATTTTCTCACTAATTTTACCTCTGAAAACAAGTGACCCCCACCTCCTTCATTCACAAATATCTCGACTTGTATTCAAGATAAATGGATATTTTTTTCATCCAAATTAAGACAAGTGAACAAGCTTTAAGATGATACCAATAACTCTACATGCCCAAAAATTGACGAGAGCCTGATTCCACCACACTGCTGAACAAATGTACGTGAAGTAAAAGCTAGGCGAGATTGATAATTCAGGTCAAAATACTCCTGTACATTTTGGAGAAACTTTGAGAAGGAGCATAGATTTATGTGCATATCTTGAAGACAGCGTTTTTTCAGAAGAGGATAAAATTGTGATAAATACCTGGTATTTTGTATTTTAAACGGTTTAAATGAAATGATTATAATCATTGTTTCCAACTGTACCAGCATATCAGTATTGTAGGATTTGTTATCATAGTTGTGTATTTAATTTATCATAAGTTACAACGATGATTATGTATATATAATATAATATATAATATATATACTATGAGTAATGATTATGTACCGTAGTGTTTGTAAGATTCTAGTGTCTCGCAATTTATGGCTTGATTGCTTTCTCTAGCTTTTCACTGGGTCATACTTTTCACATTGTGTGTGTGTATGTGTGTATGTGTGTATATGTGTGCGTGTGCGTGTGTGTGCGTGTGTGTGTGTGTGTGGGGGCATTTTTATGTGTGTGTGTGTTTGTGTGTATATGCGTATATATGTAACAGCTAGCATTTTCTGTATTATCATGTAAGGTCCCCAACACTTGCAACACATCCCTGTATACGTTTATTATTCTTTTTTTTCTGTCCATCAACCCATGTCTGACTTCTGACTGGCGAGGTGACTGCCGAGTCCCGTCTCATTCTGTGATGCCCAAACAGCCGAGTTTCTTCCCTTTAGGGACACGAATTGATTGGTCGCTTAAGCACAAGGTGGCTATCCCTAAAAACGCTGTTTTGAGAAAATAGAAGGTACAGTTTTTGCCCCTTGTTCCGTTTCTTTAAAAGACAAGGAGAATTTTCTCTATAACCAAACAAATATACACACTAATGAAACCAAACTTCTACACACTAATGAAACCAAACTTCTCCTATAGGTAGGGCAATGCTCACTTTTGGTGTACCGCTAGGTCAAGATTTCTGGAAACCCCTGTAACCTGGGTTAGCCCGCTTGTCCTTAAAAGCGACAAATTGTCTCTTGGGGATATGGGGTTTTTTTAATCGGCAAGTGATTAATGTTTTACATTATTTTCCTTGAACCGTTTCAAATTATTTTGGATTTTGAAAATTTTGCAGTTATTTTAACTTTGGGAGCGTCAGTTTCTGTATCATCAACCGGCTGTTGTGATGTGCATATAGCCCAAAGTTTTAGAAAAAAAATTTATTTTCAGATTCTTCATTAGTGTTATCAATTGCATGTTGGGAAACATTATGTTGGAATTCAAACTTTAAATGTTGAACAAAAAAAGAAGGCAAGAAAAGATTCCTGTTGTGAGCAATTGTAAAAAGAATGAAGCAGTTTTTTACTCTCTGAAGTAATATTTTCAATTTTGGGCTTTGAGCATTTGAACAGCACACCAACAATTTGTCAACTTCTTGACACGGTATTTTATATATTTATATTATATGTATACATATTTTTAAAATTTTTCCAAAATTCTCAGTGTTACGGAGTGGCTGTAGTGAATAAAGCGAACTGACACTGGTGTATGTCTGAGATTGTCTCTACTAACCAAACAATGATGACGTGTCGTTATTGTCTCCCTTTCTCCTACTTCACTTTACAAAAATATTCCGGTCTATCTGGCTTCTTAATTTCTCTGTGATTCTTGTCACTACATATATTTAAATCTTTTTCCTTTTTTTTTTCTCTCCTTCTCTTCTTCTACTGAAACATTTCTGTCTTTGTCGTATGAGCCTTTGATCTTCACTCTACGTCTCTACATTCCACCTCTGCCCCATCCCCAAAGAGAGGAAGATTGTTTCCAACCAAGTTTTTTACCTTCCCTATGAAGATTTCCTACATTTGTGAGGCAGCGTGGTGGAATTAGGCTCTCGTCAATTTTTGGGCATGTAGAGTTATTGGTATCATCTTAAAGCTTGTTCACTTGTCTTTATTTGGATGAAAAAAAATATCCATTTATCTTGAATACAAGTTGAGGTATGTGTGAATGCAGGAAGTTGGGTCACCTGTTTTCAGAGGTTAAACTAGTGAGAAAATGGCCGCCAAAGATTAGTTATTTCCTTATCTTAATAGTCCGTGGTAACTGAAAATTTACATTTTTTTGCCTTTAATCAATGTTTTTCAGAAAAATACACAAAGAAATTAGTTCTTTAATGGGCATGAAAGGTGTGGAGCCAAAAAACAACAAACCTGTGGAAAAATGCAAGTTTCTTCACTTTAATTATTTTGACAAGAGCCTGATTCCACCACGCTGTCTCACATATCTCTTCCCTTTACATGGTAGAAACAAGAGAGGATGAACATACTTTTCCTCAACTGTTAGCGGTACAATTGTCTGAAACATTCCTGTGGGATTCTTGCCTGGATCGAACTTAAATCAGCCTCCAGCTCACAATTGCAGTGGCTCCAAAATAATATGTCATGTATGAAGTCATATCTGTACACCTTCCTGTTTCTGACTTTTTAATTATGGTCTTACCGGTATACATAATTATGTGATATATATATATATATAGTAGACCAACAACGACTGTGATACCAAATAGACATATAGAGATTTATTCTTTCATGTACTTTTTGTTGTTGTTGCTTTTGCGTGTATGGATGTGTGTTGTAGTTTTGCGCATCGCGTTAAGCCGTTGATGTAGTGATGTGTGTTTGAGGCAAGTCTGTGAGACAGTCACGTTTGCTCGCGTGGAACGTGTGGGCGGTTCATGGGTAAGCTCTGGTGTGGTCAGTCGGGAGGTCACTCGGTTTGTCGATATTCCTTTGTCCAAACTGATTCCTCCACAGCTATAAGACCCATTTTTGTTTTAAAAATGCTGTAAAACTCTTACTAAAAAATAAACTAAAGAAAAATTTTGATGGTGTGAAGTTGTCGTTGTCTTGAGCAAAATTTAAACCTTTTCAACGCCCATCATGACCTCTTTTAGATCTTGCACTCCCGGAGTTTTTAAAAATTAGAAACGAATGTCACCTGTTACTTAAATTAGCTGACTGAGTCTACCATGGTTTATTAGAACGTTGTAGCTGATGACTGACTTGTGACATGGCAAGTAGCCTACGTGCAGTCGCGACTGACATTGTAAATTATAATTGTTACCGCTGTGATGTCATCGTTTTATGTGGAGCAGTGAACTGTTTCAACCGACTTGTCCCTCTTTTTGATTTTTTTAACAATTATTTTATTTTTCTAGGATTCTTACAGATGGCATACAGAATTTAAATAAAATTTTGCTAATGTTTCCAAGTCTTTCCCGATGTTGTTAATTTTTCCTTCTTTGTTAGATCTATCTTTTGACGTTCATTTTTGCCTGGATGTTATTTATTTGCCAAAACAGACTGACAATGCTGTAGATCTATATCTATGATATCATGATTTATTTCAAATGTAGGTATTTTTTGCTTCCAGACAAAGTTCAGATAACGTAGGAGGTATTTTTTGCTTCCATAGACACAGTTAAGATAATTTAGGAGGTATTTTACGCTTCCATAGACACAGTTAAGATAATTTAGGAGGTATTTTACGCTTCCATAGACACAGTTAAGATAATTTAGGAGGTATTTTTTGCTTCCATAGACACAGTTAAGATAATTTAGGAGGTATTTTACGCTTCCATAGACACAGTTAAGATAATTTAGGAGGTATTTTACGCTTCCATAGACACAGTTAAGATAATTTAGGAGGTATTTTTTGCTTCCATAGACACAGTTAAGATAATTTAGGAGGTAGGCTACTTTGACTTTGAACCTGCCTGTGATGACAGGGACACAAAGCCCTATCAGAAAGACCAAGATGCTCAATAAAAATACCCCCCTCCCCCCCCCCCCCCCCACGGGGATCGAACTCAGGTCTTCTGTTTGCGATGGCGAGGTGCCTATAAATAACCTCTGCCCCATGGGCACCAGTCAGGAGACAGAATAGATGGTGAACTGGTACGGACAACTGTCCAGGAAGTAAGTGATGTTAGTTTATGTGAACTTTCATGGAAAGAAAAGTAAAGTAAAGCTGTTCTGGTATCTGATCCGGACAGTGGGGATTGTTTGGTTAGTGAGACAACTTCCTGGGCCTTCGGCATATTGTGGTAGAGTGGCTTTCATGGAAATACATGACTAGAATATATGAATAGTCACTTACTGTTGTGGTTTTTTTTTATCAAACCTTAGAAATAAAATTGTTAAACATTTTTATATTATTTAAAAGAGTTGTTTTAAATTGAAAATCCATACTAAACAACAAACAGTTTATGTTAGGAGTAAGATGGACAAGAACCAAGGATTCTCTCGTATATATATATATATAATAATAATAATAATAATAATAATAATAATAATAATAATAATAATAAATAGCATTTGTATAGCACATATCCCCGCTCAACAGCAGGCTCTATGCGCTTTACACTATATTATTACCCCAGCAGACCATAGAACACTCCGAAACATTCTCAGCTTCCCGGGAAGCATACAGTGCAAGCAGTTGATTAAGCGCTCAAACACTACCAAACTATCAGACCCAGCGTGTGGGTCTTGAGTTGGATACCTTAGCCGTGGCAGGCTGAGACGTAGGAGGATGAGAAATGCTGGGGGTAAAATGTTGTCATTATTATTTTATA